CACTTGGGTCAAAGCGTGTGACTTCTGCCCACCTTCCTTTTGCCACCGGTGCCAGGAGGCTCTCGCCGTTGGCTCAGCTTTGTCCACTCTGCACCGTTGGTCAGAGTTATCTTCCTAACCCACAGATGCCTCCTCCTGTCAGCAGTCCTCCCTGCAGTCCTTAGGAACCCGCCTCTTCCCCACATGCTTGAACCATTTCCAGAGCAGCCTAGGGGCTCAGACTTCTGCGACTTCGTATCTTTCTCTAGTCTGGAGTGCCCTTTTCTGTCTTCCTTACCTTTCAAAGTGGCATTTATTCTTTAGTGGTGAGTTCAAAGGCCACCCACCTTCTCTGTGTGTTAACGTACTCTATTCCTTTAACTAGATATGTTTCGGTGTTTTATATTATAAATTAGTGGATTTCCCTCATGGAATATGCAAGTTTCCTGAGTTTAGGCTCAAAGATAAATAATCCTTATATGATATACAATTGATAGCAGTTCATCTAAAACACATTAAATTGAGCTGAATAAGCTCCCCAAATGAGACCTATCAAATATTTTAGCCATGTCAATTTTTATAGGTCAAAGGTCAAGGCCAACAGAGATCTTAATGCCAGTCTTTCTTTTTTCTTATTCAGCTTCCTCAGCAAACATAAACTCTCCCAGTTTAATATAGCCACTAATTCTCTGAGTTCTCCTTCATCCCGAGCCTTCATGGCCTCCTACTCAATGCAGGAGTGTGATCCTTGTCCCGACATCCAAGTTAAGGATTCAGATCCCTGCACCTAACCAGGGACCTCTTTAATTTGAAATCTTTGTGGCGGTGCCTGGGAATCTGCATTTCTGAGCATCTCCAAACTGTGCCATGCAGAAGAAAACTGAGTCTTTGTCCTGGAAACTCCAGAGGCTGTGGCTGCCTCTGCCTGGAAGGCTTGGTCACAGCCCTGACCCGGGAAGGCAAGGGCGGAAATGTGCTCAGAGTTCAGGTAGGTGTTGTCCAGAGAGTTCGAAAGCTTTAATAAAAACTTGTGGGAGTCAGAGTAGGAAAAGACAAGGAACTATTTATGGAACTATTTATATATGTTATCATTTGGCAAAAAGGTTCACATATTAGGAGCATCCCATTTAAGGCCTGAATCTCTTCTTCCTTTAGCTTCTTTCCAATTTTTACCCAGAACATTCTGTCTACAGCCATAGGATTAAATGAGGAAACAAAATTCACCAAGAATCGGGTATGTGTCAGGTATCCTCCTCCTGCCAGGTGCTTTCCATGAGTTTCTCATTTAATTAACCACCCATGAAGATGCTAGTAGTTGTTACTTATCTTCATCTTGGAGAAGAGAAATTTAGGGTATGAGAGATTAAGTGAATTGTTGGCTTAATAGATTAAGTAAATAATCATGTAGGTAAATTAAGTTAGGTTAAAAAAAGTGAACTGCTAGATTAATAAACTACTAGTTTCAAGTCCCAGCTTTGCTATTTACTAGTTTCCCTGGGGAAACTCAACTTCTCAGAGTCTCACTAGCACCACAGACAAAATGCAGGCAACTTCATTGTCCTCACAGGTTCTGAAGACGGGAGATGGAGTTGGGTCCATGGGGCACCCGCACAGGTCTGGCCTTTGTCAGGGGTAGTGATGGCCCTCTCACCTTTCCATTCCCTTCTAGCCTTTGCTTTATAACATCCGTATCATTTTAGGTTAGGGAGCCTGTTGGCTCAGAAGCCTGGAAAGGCCTCTGCTACTGTAAGCTTGGACAAGTGCCCAGAATACTGCTCGCTCTTCCTTTTGCCCTCTGGGTCCAACTTAGGAAAGGCGTTCTCGTCAGCTTCTGGTTCTGGCTGTGGTGTGACAGCCCGGGAAAACTGCTCCCATGAGTCATGTTTTCAGCTTTCTGTTGTGACATAAAGAACAGGAAATGGTTGCCTCACTGCCAACAACCACAATGAGTCTCTTCCACCTCTGGGCTTTCCTGGTGAGGGTGGCACATGACCGCACCACTGGCAGATGGCCTGGGGACAATCTCAGCCACCTGGTCAGTTTTGGCTTGTCATGTATCAAGACTTGGTGCAGCAAGGATCACCCCACTGGGGAAGAGGGAGCACTTTTCTGGGGGATGATTCAGCTGGTAACCTGCAAACCACGCCAGGCTCTTACTTACAGACATGAGTATGAGTGACTCTAGTAGCAAGCATGAATGGCTTTGATTCACAGCTATTTTTTCTCCCTTCAGTATAAGATGTAGCATCACAATGGATGACTCACTCTATTCTATCAGCTGGGATTTCATTTTATATTTCAGTTATAGGCCTAAGACTGAGAGGGTGTCGGAGCTGCCACTCAGACTCAGAGTTGGAGGCGTGCTCCAACCATCCTGGTCATGCATCTCCCATGGTGGCATACAGCATAGGTAATAATGACCGCTCTTGCTGTTAGTTGTCAACTGCCTTGTTCCCCTTTAAGAACCTATGGCCCATGCAGTCCTGAATCTCCACCTTTTTCTCCTTATCAGTTTCCTTCTACAGTTTAGAATAACAATTTCCCTGGTAATACAACCAAGCTTATAAAATATTAATCACATCTATTTGTCCTAATTTAACTTTTCAGTGTAGGATCTGGGGATTCTGTGCATAATCTGCTTTCTTCCTATTCACGTGGTTCATGATTTTAGGGTTCTGCTTATATTTCTTCTTATGGCCATGGTCTTTACAAGCCGCAGTTCCTACCCTGCTTCTTCCACCACCTTGACTGTTAACAAACATGCAGTGTGGGAAAAGCCCTTCATTAAACACACAAGCAAGTCATCAGGAAGGAAAAGAACAATTAAAACACAGACGGGATGGGCCGGGGATTTAGCTCAGTGGCTCCACTGCCTGCCTTGCAAGCACAAGGAACCGAGTTCAATCCCTGGTACCAAAAAACCGTCACAGATGGGAGACTTGGTGATGCAGTTCCTCCAATCACGAAATTCACTGGAAAAAGCAATGGCAATATCTGCCCAGAATTCAGCAGGGTGACTAATAGTTGGCAGAAGAATGCAGCTTTCTCTCTCTAAGAAATCTGCTGGGAGCTTTCGTTAATACAGTTTCTGCCTCCAGGAAGGAAATCCGGACTTGCTCTCTGCCCAGCTCCTGATGGGTCAGTGGAGTCCTGTGGCTTCTTCTGTCCAGACCACGGACCCAAGCTGCTGCTGAAGTTTAGCTGAGGCCACGGCCCACTGACCTCGAGCTATGGTCCAGCTGGATGCTGAATTTTCAGGGAGGCGGGGGAAAGGAAACTTTTCTTGGATTGCTATGCATCAGCAGGCAAGGGATGATCAAAATATATGGTGAGTGTTTATATTTAAAACAAATTATAGTAAGAGACACATTGCCATCAATCCCCCTCAGCATATTCCCCCTCTCTTTGAATACACTTATCCCATTGTTCTTGCCACCTTTTGAAGCAGTTCTGGAAGTCTTTATGCAGTGTGATAAAAATACAATGGCTGCCATCTAACAGAAAGTCAGGCTCATAAAAACATCACAATGGGCCGGGGATTTAGCTCAGTGGTTCCGGCTCCTGCTGTGCAAGCGCCAAGTCCAGAGTTCGATCCCCAATACCAAAAAACAAACAAACAAACAAATAAACAAAACCCATCAGTGCTGGGGGCTGGGGATTAGCTCAGTGGCACTGCACCTGGCTGGCAAGCACAAGGTCCTGAGTTCCATCCCCGGTACAAAAAAACCAAAAAAAATCAGTGTGTCCTTATCCACCCTATACACTGGATCTGGCACTCGGTAACTTTTGACTCTTCCCCAAAGTCAAAATAACCATAGAAAGGAAATGTTTTGAGTCAGTACAGGACATACAGGCAGCCATAACAGTGCAACTAATGACACAAAGGACCTCTAGAACTGCTTCAGAATGTGGCAAGAATGATGGGATAAATTTGTTTGAAGTGAGGGAGCAGATTTTGAGGGAGTTAATGGCAATGTCTTTTACCATAATAAATTAAAAAATAATTTAAACATTGTATTTCCTGTCACATTTCATTTTAATTGGGTTTGTAAGTATTCTGCCCCTTTATAATTAGACAGTGTTGGAAAATTTTTCAATTTCCATTTGATGCTCAAAATACTCTCAGTAGGTAGCTGTCTTTTTTCATTGTTGTTTTGTTTTTCCAATGCTGGGGATTGTACCTGGAGCCTTCACACTGAGCTATATCCTTAGCTGTTTTTTAAACTTATTTTTTATTTTGAGACAGGGTCTCACCAAGTCGCTAAGTTGCCAGGGGGGTGGGGTGGGGAGGGGCTCAAACTTGCAACCCTCCTGCCTCAGCTTCCCAGAGTGCTGTGATTACAGGTGTGTGCCATCACACCCAGGTTCTTTATCCCTATTTTTACAGACAAGAGGGTGAGGCCGAGAGAAGTGATGTTGCTTTAACCCAGGTCTGCCTGATTCCAAAGCTTATACTTTTTTCTTTTCTTTTGAAATAATTATATAGTCACATGAGGTTGCATAGAAATACCCGAGGAAGTGCCACACGCCCTTTCCCCTACCTCCTCCAATGTTAACATCTTACACAACTGTAGTGTAATAGCAACACCAAGAAATTCATACTGGCACAATCCACAGAGCTTATTCAGAGTTCACCAGGTGTGTGCGTGTGCGTGTGCGTATGTGTGTGTCTGTAGCTCTAAGCACTTTTCATCCTCTTTTCCTACATGAACTACACACTGTTCTCCCAATTTTAATTATGAAGTCAGATTATAGGAATAAATAAAATGATTTCTCCCTCAATAAAACAGTATCTACCAGCAGTTACAAACATGATTAAGCAGTATTCATTTCTAGTTGCAATTAAAGAGAAAGAAAAAGAAGAAAAAAATTTCTACAAACTTCAGCTTTTGAGGGCCCTGGTCTATGCTACACACCATCATAGGCACATCTTCAGGGCATGCTAAATCAGTTTACTGATTTATATAGTTACAGCAGTGAGTCTCATATCAGAAATTTCTATCTGTACAAGGTGATTTTACCTTGACTTCAAGTTTAGACTCGTCGTCTTCCTTTTCCGGGGCCGTCAAATCTGTCTCCATATGAGGTCCCTCAGCTGCTCTCTGAAGAGGGGCTGGAGGGACAGGGGAAACATACTATTAGTTTAGCTATTTGATGTATGACTCGTAGCTCAGGGCAGTGGCTGACTTGGACAAGGAGTTGGACCATGTTGGTGCGGTTGACTAACAAAGTAGAATTGAGCTTCTGCAGAAATTTTCTAGGTAGTGGATGAAATGGGAGATAAAGAGAGGCAGAAAAGAAACAGAGCCCTCCATCCCAGGGACTTGACATTTGAGCCAGACCTGAATGTCCCACCCACACCATGTGAAATGTCTAACCACAAGCCAGTAAATTTGATGGGGTAAAAACAACAGTGCTCCTACCATTCCCAGCGTTAAGGCCTGGCTAGAAGGCTGCTTTCCTCTCAAAGACTCCCCTGACTGTTACACACTTCACGGATGCTTTTTTCACGGCTATTTCAGCAAGCGTAATTTGTCTGAGGCTACTTGATGCTGTTCTTGGGTTAGAAGTTGAATATATCTTTCCATTTTGAAAGTAACAAATTTGTGCTTGTTATGGAAAATTTGAAAAATACTAAAATCTTACTATTTAGATAGAATCACTTGGTAGATTTCCTTATAGTCTTCAAAATGCTCAACCCCTCAGTCATACTGTGGTGTCCATGACTGCCCTAGCCTAATGCTACAATGGTTGGACTCCGGAACTGATGGGCCTACACTTATTACTGGATGGGATGACTGTGTAATAGACTCGGTTAGCAGTCGTGGGAAGGAACTGGGCTATCTCGCTCTTGTTTTCTTCTCTCAGTCACTCCATCCCTTTGTCTCCTGCCACAGGGCTCTCAGACAACTGAGGGAGGCCCTTCCTCCGGTCCTCGGGGAGAAGTGCTGAGAACTTGGTGCTTCCTAACCTGCTTTCTCAGCCTTCTCCGTGTTGGGGGTGACAGTTACAAGGCAAGTCAGAAAGCAGCGTCTGAGTTCACGTCACTGTCATCAGCTATGTGAAATCTGAGTTTCAGGAGACTCTGGATACGTGAGATTAATGGAGACAGGCATCGAGCATTTCGGACCCCATGCTGAAGTGCACCCATTGAATGCCTCTGATTCTTATCTCTGGTGGGATGGATGGGGGTGGACCATGTGCCCTCCAGAGGACCCTCCATTCTGCAAGCCAGCTGCCAGCAGCCTGGGCTTCCTATGGGTGCTTTCCGGGTGTTGTGTTGAAATCTGTAGTAAGGTACAGTCATGCTCCCCCAGATCACATGATCACGGCAGCTACATAATAATGATAACAGACAACACGTCGGGCTCCTCATGCTCAGCAGGATCTCTGTAAAGTGAGTGATTCCAGGCATTATAACTGGATGTTAAAAAGTGTATCCCATAACTGGTGACCCTTGGGACTGACAGGCACCTGCCCTTGGCACTGCAGGCCGAGTGAAGGAAAGGAAGGACTGTAGAAGCCACTCTGCCAGTATTCACATCTTACTCTTGCCTGCACGAGACACGCCAGCATAGTGATTTCCGTGCCTTAGCTTCTTCTCTGTAAAGTGGGGAATAACGAGAAAACCTATGTATGGGGTTGTTCTCAGGGCTTCAGGGGTTAATGTGTGTCAAATATGAGTTCCCAGTAAGAACTCAGTACATCTTAGCTATCATTGCAGACATTGTAGGCAAATGTGTAGACACATTTTTCACATTCCTTATAAACTTGAGAGATGTTAAATGTTGTGCTCAAGGGAGCACCTCACAGGAATCAGAGCTGAGACTGCAGCTCTGGTCTCTAAGCTCCTTCTGGCCACCTTCTTTATATCATGAAATACCATGTTTATCTTGGCGCAGACTCAGTTACTAAAGAATCAGACCAATGTGGTGGGTTGTTTTGTTGTTGTTTTTTGGTTTTTTGAGGCAGGGTCTCCCTTTGTAGTTCAAGCTGGCCCTGAACTCACTATGTGGTCCAGGCTGGCCTCGAACTTGCAGTGACCCTCCTGCCTCAAGTGCTGGGATTACAGGTGTGCACTACCATGGCCAGCAGGCCAATGTGTTTGAAAGTCCTGTCAATGACCTGCTTGAGTCCACACCAGTGGATACTTGCCATAAACAAAAGGGTAGAACTGTTGTATAAAATGAGCTGGTTGCCTGCCCCAGGGCAATGACAACCTGTTCAGACAAGAAGATTTATTTACCTTGAAAAGGTCCTTAATCTGTTAGGACCCTCATGTTTGAAAAGCTGAAAAACAAACTACAGTTCCTGCTTTACTTGTAACAAGCATATGTGTCTTGAAACTGTGAAAGAGGCCAAGAAACAGAAATAAACATAGTTTAATTTGAGGAAGGATGAGTGGCCAGAAAAACCAAATCCTGTCCTCAACTCTCCAAGAAGGATCTGTGTGTGTGTTTTTGCCTGTGGTATGTATGTGCAAATATGTCTGACTGTGCACGTGTATGTGCGTATGAGTGTGTTTTCATAGAAAATATCAGAAAAGAAATACACTAAACTGTTATCAAGGATTACTTCTATAAGGAACAAGACAAGGTGGCCAACTGTCACCACTCATGTTCATTGTAGTACTTGAAATTTTAGCCAGAGCAATCAGGCAAGAGAAAGAATAAAAGAGATATGTATAGCAAAGGAAGAAGTCAAACTACCGTTACTCACTGGTCACATGATCCTCTACAGAGAAGACCCTGAAAACTCCCCCCAAAGCCCCCAAGAACTAATAAACAAATTCAGCAACTCATAGGATACAAAATCAGTATGCAAAAATCAACAGTGTTCCTGTACACCAATGATGAATGAACTGACGGAGAAAAAAATCAGGAAAACAACACCATTAACAACAGGTTAAAAAATTAAGTACCTAGGAATTAACCTAATTAAAGAAGTGAAAGACTTCTCTAACAAAAACTATAGCACTCTGGAGAAAGAGATTGAAGAGGACATGAGAAAACAAAAAGACATTTCCTGTTCCTGGTTAGGCAGAACGAATATTGTCAAAATGGCCATATCACCAAAAATACTATATAGATTTAATGCAACCCCAATCAAAATAACAACAACATTCCTCACAGAACTACAGAAAATGGTCTAAAAATTCATATGGAACTGGAAGAGATCCAGAATAGTAAAAGCAGTCCTGGGCAACAAGAGCAAAGCATGAGGCATCACAATCCAGGATTTCAAGTTATATCAGGTATACCACAAAGCTACAGTGGTTAAAAGAAAAGAACAGCCTGGTACCGGCACAAAACAGACATGTGGATCAATGCAACAGAATTGTGGATATAGAAACAACCTCAGGTACTGTCAGCCACATGATCTTTGACAAAGGGGCCAAAAACATAGGCTTTAATAAATGGTGCTGGGAAAACTGGTTATCCACCATGGTAGAATGAATCTAGACTCATAACTCTTACTTTGTATTAAAATCAAATCAAAATGGATCAAAGATCTAGATATAGAAACAGAAACACTGAGTCTGCTGGAACATAAAATAGATACTACACTTGATCTTAGCCAAAAGGCCGAGAAGCGATTGGAACATAAAATAGGTAAAAACCCTTGAAGACAGAGATAGGCAAGAACTTTCTGAACAGAACCTCAATTGCAAAAGAATAACACCAACAATCAACAATTGGGATCATATCAAATTATAAAGCTACTGAATGCAAAGAAAACAACCGACAGAGTGGAGAGAGACAACCTATGGGAAAAAAAATTTTCTAGCTATTTCTCAGACAGAGGACTAAAACCTAGAATATACAGAGAACTACATTGAAAGACCCAGTCAAAGGGCAATTGAAATGAACAGACACTACTCAAAGAAAGAGGCACAAATGGCCAATGGGTACATGAAAACATGTTCAGCATCTTTGGGTATAAGGGAAATACAAATCAAAATAACACGGAGGTTCCATCTTACTCCAGAAAGAGTGACTACGATCAAGAATTCAAAAAAACAACGAATGCAAACAACAATAACAAAAAAAACAACCAACAAATGCTGTCGAGGTTGTGGGGAAACAAAGGAACGCTTCTACATTGCTGGTGGGAATGTAAACTAGTACAATCACTATGGAAATCAGTATGGAGATTACTCAAAAAGCTAAAAGTAGGAATTCTATTTGACCCAGCTATTCCCCTTCTAGGCATCTTCCCAAAATAGTTAAAGACATCATATTACAGTGACACATGCATACCCTGTCTATAGCAGCACAATTCATAACAGTTAAATCTTGGAAGCAACCTATATGGTCATCAGCAGGTGACTGGAAAAAGAAAGTGTGGTATTTATACACAATGGAGTACTACTCTGCCATAAAGAAAGAAAAATCTGAGTCATTTGTAGGAAAATGGATGCATCTTGAGACCTTAATGCTAAGTGACATAAATCAGGCACAGAAGGTTAAATATCACATGGTTTTACTTATATGAGAAACCAAAGCATAGAGAGCAAACTAAAAGATGGATGAAAGAAAAGAGGGAGATAGCATCTGTGGAGATGAGAAGGTGATCTGGAAATGAGGAGAGACAGGAGGGAGAGAAGGGGAAGGGGAAGCAAAAGGGATCAAGATGCGAGATATATATATATATATATATATATATATATATATACACAAATACACAATCGCACATACATTTACTATTCATCACAAACATAATAAAAAGGGGGAAAAAGGACTAGTTCTAAAATGTAGACTATATAATGGGAGACAGGGGACCAGAAATTTTAAGTGGAGAATTACCAAGAGGCCTCATAATTTACAAAAAAAGGAAAACTGAAAAAACTTGCTGCCAACAAACCTCCCAGCAAGAAATGCTAACAGACACTCCTTATCCCGAGGAGAAATGGACGAGATGACAAGATGGTACTTCAGAGCTACAGTAAGGAGCAAAGAACACTGAAGGCGGTTGACAGGGTAAAATAAACAGTGGCAGATTTCTCTCTCTCTCTCTCTCTCTCTCTCTCCTTCCTTTTTCTTAATTTCATTAAAAGATATATGATTATCTAAAAATTTTAATACAAGTTCAGTGTCAGAATATGAGCTATATTCCCAGCCCTTTTAAAATGTATTTTACTATTTGTTTTGTCTTAGTGGTAGCGTGTGTGAACTCTGTGCCTCTGCACTGAGCTGCATCCCCAGCCCCCTTTTTGATATTTTGAGACAGGGTCTCACTAAGTTGCTAAGTTGCCCAGGTGGAGCTCGAATTGTGCAAGCGTGAAGCCTGTACCGTACCCAGCTTAAATTTTCCTATACTTATATAAACTGATAAGATACTAATTCAAAGTCGATTATGATGCATGAAGGATGTGGATGATACATTTGGGGGAAAAACAGTGCAAAGAAATAGGCTAACAAGCAAATTAAGAAAATAAAACTGAATATTAAAAAACATCTGGGTTAGGGATTTAGCTCAGTGGTTCCGGTGCCTGCCTTGCAAGCTCAAGGTCCTGAGTTCGATCCTTGGTACCAAAAAAATTTTTTTTTCTGGACCCAAAAAAGGTAGAAAAAGAGGAAAATGAGTATAAAAATACATGAACCAGGCACATCAGTGCAGGCCAGTAATCCCAGCACTCTAAAAGGCTAAGGTAGGAGGATTGCAAGTTTGAGCCCAGCCCAGGTAACTTAGTGATTTACCCAGACCCTGTCTCAAAAAACAAAAAAAAAAACAAATTTAAAAGTTGAGCACATAAGTCAATGCAAAGACCCTTGATTCAGTCCCTAGCATATGAGAGAGAGAGAGAGAGAGAGAGAGAGAGAGAGACAGAGATGGAGAGAGAGAGAGGAGATAAACAGACAATAACAAAATAATAGCTATTTTGAATCCAACTGTTTCAATAACTACAGTGTATATAAATAGATTAAACACTTCAATTAAAAGGCAGATGTGAACAAAATATATTAAAAAGATAAGACGTAAGTATATGTTCCTGCAAAAATATATTGCCAACACAAAGACAGAAGAATGGAAATATACCTCAGGTGAACAGTAAGCCAAATTGATCTATATATTCAGTGCAATCCTAATCACAATCCTAGCAGAAATTGAAACATGATTCTGAAATTTATAAGGAAATGAACAGGACCTAAAATAACCAAAACAATCTTGGGAAAGAACAAAGTTTGAACACTTGCATTACCTGATCTTAGGGCTTACTAATAAGGTACAGTTATCAAACCTGTGTGGGACTGATGTAAGGACTTATCTAATTTTTAAAAATCTTTTCAAAGAATCAACTTTATCGCTCCGCAAACAATAAATCATGGGCCTTCTAACGCCCTTGATGGAATCAGTTTCATGCTAATGTTTCTTATGCATCTGTATTACTCCTTTCCCAGATGCTGAGCCTCTCCTTGTGTCCAGGCACTCAATATTATTGAAGTATTTATAAAGTCTTTGACATCTGCTCTATGCCATCTCTCTAGTTTGTTTTAAATCATATTTGGCAAAGCACTGAGCATCATCCATCTTAGACAACCACAATCTCAGCTCTCAAGAGCATGGAGGAAACATGAAAGCCACAAGCATCCTTTTCCAAAACGACCTACCCAAGGCGGAGGGCTGGCTGGGTTTTGGTGACACCCATTTTGGTGAGGACTCAGGATGGGGGGCCACGGGCTGCACTGGGCGGGTCTGTTTGGCTGCCAGTTTCATCAGGCTCACTTGTCTCTTGTGAAATATTTCCTGCACGTCAGCAAGCTTCTGCAGGACTTTCTGGGCTTTGGCCTGCAGGAACAAAGGCAAATCAGGGCTTTTGAGCAGGGCTGTCTGCTGAGCCTGAGGACACAAAGCATTCCTTCTCTTCCATCTGTCCCTCTTCCCTCCATCCCACCTCCCTCTGGGAATCCTTATGCAAGTCCTTGGGTGTGTCTTTGCTCTAGAATCTTCTAAGAGTCCGTGTCTCCCAGTTGAGAGCTCTGGGAGCCATGTCCATGTCCTTTCCCTTCCTGCATCTCCAGTGCCTGGAACACTGGCTGGCCCACTAAAATGGATACTTGGCGCTCGGGAAATATTTGTTGAGTGGATAAATGTTCACTTAGCCATGTCCATTAATGGTTGGAAAGGATGGCATAGGTCACAGATGAAGGGTGTTAGGCCAGTGTTCAAAGCAGGATTTCAAAATCAGAAATAAAGGCCCTGGTGGAGAAAAGAATGTAAGTATTCTTAGGGGAAAGAGTGGCCAAATTGGAGGCAGGATCAAGGGACCCATGAAGTACCTAGAATTGAAAGGATACACATTTACGTGTTATTCTGTGTGATGCCGTCTCTCTGTATAAGCAAGAAAGCGATAAATAGAAGAAATATCAGGGAAAGATAGACTTTGGGACAAAGGCTCGGGGAAACAAAAAAAGCTGACTGAGTGCAAGGACCCGAGTTCGATCCCTGGTACCAAAAAAAAAAAAAAAATGCTGACTGTGTTTCTCCTGGCCTTGTTGTCAGAAGGATGCCCTTAAAGATGCCCTTCCAGTTCTGGTGGCTCAACGGAAGTAGGAAGCCTTTTCTTTGTCACACCAAGTGGGACATCTATCTGCTGGACAATTTGAACCACCAAAGGAGGAACTCAGAATCAGAAAAGCTGAGCCACGAGAGGCCACACAGGGTGCTCTGAGGATGACCAATTCTGAAAGTGCAGGTTCAGCACATACCCTGGGCGGCCAATGCAACTAGAAAAGTAAATTCATCTTTCTCTTGGAAAATAGTGCACAAACAGGTGGCACGCAGTGTTGGCCCACAGCTTCAATTTGCAGATCCCTGGACTAGATGACCAGGGTCTGTTTTACAGGTCTGTTCAGAGAATGCCCCCTCCGATGTGGGAAGCTCAGTTGTACAATGGGCCGGAAGTTCTGATGGCCTAGCTACAAGTCCAAGTCCCCAAAGAAGCCAGATTCCCCACATGCCATGAGACCATCTTCACTCACAGGAGGATGCTGCTGAGACCTGGAGATCAGAGTCACCACCCTGCCCTTGTGGCCTAGGGATGGGCTTGAAGAATCAAAACATGAGTGTTAACTGCTGCACAAAGATCAGGAAATTGGACCAACCGAACCAATGCCCGATGCAAGGTGGACCATGCTGGCGTGAGGGAACCCCGCATACAAGGGCTCCACGACTCACACTTGGCTCACCTTTGCCCTCTTGCACTTCTTCCTTAAGACCCTGGTGTAAATTCTGGAAATGGTGGGAACAGTTGGAAGAGATCCTAAAGTCCTAAACTCAGGCAAAGTCATGCAACTGTACTTCCTCCTTTTCTCTTCCATCTTTTCACTTGCAAATCCATTATCCTTATCACAGTGGAAATTATCTTTCTAAAATGTGTTGCCCATCACATAACTTTCCCGTTTCAGAGTCCAGCAGAGGCTTCAGTCCGCATCAGGACAAATTCCTGATCCCTTGTCCTGGGGGGCTAGGCTCCCCATGATTGACCCTGACCTCCCTCCTGTCACCCCCTGTCAGTGCCCTGCAGCCCAACACACCTCCACCCCTCCAGCTGGGGATGTTCTAAGAATGCTCTTCTGCCTCAAGCCCCGCGGCCTTGCCCCCAGGCCTTGCCCCTCGGGTTCCTTCTGCCCCTACTGTTTCCCTGAAACTCTCCTGTGAATCCTGAAGACTTATTTTAGGCATCTTCTCCTGAGTCAACTAAAGACACTCAGGAAAGAGGACTCCAGAACTGCTTCAGAAAGTGGCAAGAATGATGGGATAAGTGTGTTTGAAGCAAGGGGGAGCATTTTGAGGGGAATTCATGGAAATGTGTCTTTTACTGTAACACATTTTTAAAAATTTAAGCATTCACCATATGTTTCGATCACTTCTTGTGATCCCTTCTTCTGCCTAGGCCAACGTGGCCATCTTGTCCCCTGTGTGCCCACTGTCGCGTCCTTTATGTGTGCTTTTGGACCAGAGAGCGTTGACCAGGAAGATGCTTGTCTTCCACTAGTCCAGCACCTGCGTCGTGAGGACGGTGACTTTCACGACTGTCTTCCCAGAAGGCAGCACGGTGTGCCTGGCACACACTGCGTACCCGATGAATTTTTGAAGAATCAAATTTTGCTGTTTGCTACTATGGGGGCTCCACACTCTGGACTCAGTAGTGAAAGCAAATGAGGACTAAGGGTGGCACAGTAAGAGCCCCTGATGGTGACAGAGTGGCTACTCTAGGAACAACAGTTTAATTTATGTTGTGGTTTATAGTCATTGCGCCTTCAGTGTACCAGATCCAGCCTTGAGACAGAGATGTCCAGTTTTAAAGTTTTTAATTTTTTTACAGGAGATCAATGACAAAATTGCAAAGTGGTACAGAGAATTTCCATATACTCCATACCAGTTTCCTCTACGGCTAACATCTTACCTTAGCATAGTACATTTATTAAATTAGTGAACTGATACTGATATGCTATGATTAAATATATACTTTACATTTCTCTAGTCTTTACCTAATATAATTTCCTCTCCAGGATAAAGGATTACATTTAGTTGTGATGTCTTCTTAGACTCCTGATGGCTGTGATAGTCTCTAGGTTTTCCTTATTTTTGATGATCTTGACTGTATGAAGGCTACTGGTCAGGTAGGTTATACAGTGTTCCTCAGCTGGATTTTTCCAATGCCCTTCTCATAATCAGACTAGGGTTATGAATTTGGGGAGGAAAGCAGGGAGGTAAACTACTGCTGTCAGCACATCATATCAAGGGTGCCCTGAGCCTATGACTTACCACTGTTTGTGTTGCCCTCCATCATCTGGGCATGGCGGAGTCTGAGGCTTCCCCACGCTGATAGTTTCTCTTATTTACTCCTCTCTATACTCTTTGGAGATGAGTTACTATGTGCAGCCCACACTTCTGGAGCAGGGAGTTGCACTCCTGGCTCAAGGGCACATTATGGACAGAAATAATCTAGAATCCTGCCTGTGAGATTAGTTTCCTCTTCCTATTTATTTATTTCATCATATATTTATATCAGTGTGAATTCATGGCTATGTACTTTATACTTTAAGTTGTAATTGTATACTACTTTATTAATGTTTTGGTCAAATTTTTCCAGCATTGGCCACTGAGGGTTCTCTCAATTGACTCCCATGTCTCACCACTGTGTGGTTTTAGAAAACAAGGCCTTGGTGGTCATACTGTGGCCTTGTTGCTTATAACCCTTTACACCACTGGTGTAAGGAAATACGCGTGCCTATACCATCCCGTGCATATCCATATATGTAAGGATATTTCTGCACGGGTAGAGTACCAGTGTTGAGAACAAAGTCATTGCTCCCCAGTGGACAGAACTCACTCTCTGACAGAGCAGAATGTTGAATCTTGTATCCTAGAATCACACTCCAAGCTACAAGAAGGAAAGAGCCATGTGTTTTCTGCACCTGTGACAGAACGCCTAAGACTAGATATAGTAATTCTAAAGAAAAGCACCCAAATGATTAACTGCTAAATAATCTCCCTTTAGGTTTGCAGAACCCAGAACATCTGATGACCTTTGGACAACATCAGAATGTGTAAGGTCCCGCCTTATTTTCCAGTCCTGTGCATCAACTAACACCACATGTGTAAACTGCCGTGGGGCTTGAAGTCACGCGTTTGTCCACAGGAACGAACCCTGGAGGGTCAGTATCAGTTCTGATCTTCCAGACACCCTAGGACAGAAGCCCCTTCCCAGTGTGTGCTCCTCTTGCTGCCCACTGACCCAGCCCCCCTTTCCCTCCCCATGCAAGCACTTTGGTACCAGTGAGTTCTCTCACATGTCTTTTTTGGGGGGACAGTAGCTTTCTCCATCTTCTCAGGGTGCCATCCCTTGAATAAAAATGATTTCCTTCCCACCGACTCCCATCTCCTGAGTGCTGGGTTCTGAGCATGAGTACTTGGTTCCAGTAACATTATTTCTTACACTTCTGGAGGCCTCAACGTCCTACAGCAGCTGCATCTGACCCACAGCCCTGTGTGGATAGCTGGTCATGTGGCCTCACAAGATTGTTAACTTTTAACATTTTTGTGATTTTTAGTGATTTTTTTTTTTATGACTCAGTTGCACTTTGCTGGAGTGTTGACTGCATAGGCGACAACGGGACCCTGCAGGGGACTCAGTGTGATGGTGACCTCTCCTTCCACACCTGCCACGCTCACTCGCTCAGGTGAATTGGAACCGTGTGCATCAGACAAGACATGTGCTATGCTCCTTGGCAAGTAAAACACAGCGATTGGGGATAAGAGCATTTTAACCCACCTACATCTGTGTGTGACTAAGACAGGCATCCACAGTTACTAAGCAGACGTATAAGTTTTCTTATTTAATTACTGAACTTTGGTTTGTGCTTGTTCATAAAATAATTTACTAAGTTAAAATAGTAAAATAATATATATTTTATATGTGGCCTAAGACAACTCCCCTTCATTTGATGTGGACCAAGCAAGCCAAAAGCTTGGAACCCACGTCCTGGAGGATGCCTGGGCATCTGAGGAGGGCTGTCCTGCTGTGTCACCACAGGGCAGAGGACGTCACATGCTTGGGAAGCTCGTGTGTGTGAGAGAGGCAGGGTGGGGCCAAATGTGTCCTTGCACCTGGAATAACTAACTCTCTCCAGCGCCCCGGGCCGTAGTCACCTGTTATGGTCCCGCCTCTTACTGGGGTTACAATAGAGACTGAATCCCAGCAGGATTTTTGGAAGGAACATGCAAGGCATAGCCATGGGCTTGGGCATACTTCAGTTCCTTTTACATCCAGGATTTATTATGGTTATTTCTCTTTGAATCCTTCTACTTCCCCGTGCTGCTGCATGTTTCTTGAAGGTGGTTTATTACGTTTTATTCACTTTCTGGCAGGGGGTGTGGAGGTGGGAGCGTCAGAACCGAAGCTGCAGCAGGTCCCCTTGGCTGACTTGTTCCGCGTGTTTCCTCGGCTCCTGGAGCCCAAGCTGGGCTGACCGCTCTGCCTTAGGAATCTGAGCTGGAGCTGCTGCTGCTTGCCTCGTCAGTGCAGCCTGGCTTTCTCTTTGTCCCCTGTGCAGGGAAGTGGCAGGGCCCTTATGCTGGGGAAGGAGGCCTGCTCACCCTCCCCACCTGACGATCCTATCTCCTGACCGAAGCTCACTGGGAGGAGACAGGAACAGAGCGCTGGGAAGGTAAAGCTCCATGCCAGGCTGCCTCTGGCCCTCTGCCGATTCAGCCGGCCTGCCTGTCTGCTGTTCAGCAAGGACGGGCTGGACACCAGGCAAAGGGACACTGAGATGGGTGAGGCACAGATCCTGCCCTTAAGGAGCTCCCAGTGCCGAAAACAAGACAGACATTACAAACAGGTGACAGAAATGCACTGTAAATTGTGTCAAATCCGAGCAAACGTTCTTGGCCTGGGTCCAGGAATAAACTTTAGGATTTTCCCCAAAAATTACCTATAAAAGGTTTCATATATTCTGTTTGTTGCCCCATTACATCTCTGCCTACTCTGTGCCCCAAGAAGCTCATCTCATAGAACTCAGTCAGATGAGTTCATGGGCTTTTGGTTGGTTTGGGCCAATGGAAAGTACCACCAGCAAATCAGAGAGAGAGACAAAAAGAAAACAGGAGTGGGCCGGGGATTTAGCTCAGTGGTTTTGCTGCCTGTTGCGCAAGCGCCAGGACCCAAGTTTGATCCGCGGTACCAAAAAAAAAAAAAAAGGAAAGAAAACAGGAGTATATATTTGAGTTAGCTCTTCTGTTACTATAACAAAATACCCAAGATAACCAACTTAAAAAGAGGAAAGGTTTAGTTTGGCTCACAATTTTTGAGATGTCTTTCCATGTTCACTTGGCCTCATTCCTTTTGAGCCAGTGGACAGGCAGGACATCATGGTGGGAGCATGTGGTGGTGCAAGCTGCTCACCTCATGACCTCGTGGTGGGAAGCAAAGAGAGAGGAAGAGAAGGGGCTGGGGGCCCAAGATCCCTTTCAAGGCCACATCCCCAGTGACCTAAGATCTCCTGCTAGGGCCCACCTCTTAAAGGCTTCCACCATCTGCCCTCAGTGGAAAGCTAAGGACCATCCCTTTAACACATGGGCCTTTGGAGGACATTTCAGGTCCAAACTATTCTCCACCCACAGCCACAGTCCCCACTGGTTGCCCTCTCTTACAGTCACAGTCTTGGCTCTTCCTGGGTTCCCCTTGGCCTCTCTGGGTTAGGGGTAGTAACTGCTCCCTACTTCTTGCTGGTTCAGAGTACTTCTCCATCCTTTGTTGCGTTCCCTAAATCCTGTCCGTATCATCATAAACAATGCCTGTGTTAAACTCCTTTTAACCACTTTGCAAGTATAGAACTCTGAAAACACGTGAATCAGATATTGGAAAGGGTCCATTACTCAGAAGAGGCAGAGAAGCCCCTAAAACAGAGGTGCATGCAAGATGCTGTTGATCTCAGAGGAAGCTCTGCTATCTATAACTCTGCTGACTTCATGGAAGAACAGTCTTCTCAAAGTGCAAATACAATCAAGCGATTCCCCTGCTTAAATCCTTCAGTGGCTTCGCACTGCTCTTCAAATGAAGACCAAACTTCTTCATGTGGCCCACAGCACCCTACCTCATCTGTAGCTCTCTAACCTCAGCCCAAAGAGCGTTCTCTTGCTCTCTGGCCTCAACCCCGACCTTCAGATTTTGCACTTGTGCTGGGCCCCTCCAGCCTTCTGTCTGGGAAGCGCCTCCATCTTCTCGTTCTCTAGGACTTGGCTCAAGGGACTCTTCTGGAGCCTTCTCTGAGCCCAGAGCAGGTTGAGTTCTCCTGTCTCATGCCCACCAGGACCCTGGATCCCACCTTCAAAGCACTCATCTCAGTTCATAATGCATTTTGGTGTGATTATTTTATTCATGTCCCACTAACCTGCAAGGGCCACAAGGGATGGAAGCAGGGCTGTTTCTGCTCAGCACTATGTTCTCAGCACCCAGTACCACGTTTTGATTTTATCACAGATGCTTATAGGTATTTGGAGAGTGACGAATGGCTGCAGGTGATACTGGAGTCAGACCATAAAGGTCCCTTTGGCAAGACATTCGGGCCGGGAGCCTCAAGGACAGGCTAGCTGGCTCACACAGCCTGCTCAGTTTATCCTGCAGGGCCATTCCTAGGCAACAAACAAAGTCCTCCTCTTCCCCCTTTCCTTTCCCGACCACAGGATCAAAGCAACCCGGAAACAGTACCTTTACATCAAGGGTGAGTAGCAACTCAAACTGGCTGTGAAACTCCTTGGGGCTGAGCAGCTGGTACTCCTTGGCAGTGGCCTGGAATGTCTTGATGTCATTCAAGGCAATGTCGATCCCCTCTCGAGACTGGCACTTGTCCACAGCTTGGGAAGCCAAGAGGTAGATTCCTGCTTCGCACCACTGGCTGACCTTTTGGAAAGAAACACTGACAACTCAGAGAGGCCTGACAACACAGACCCACCACCATGCTCAGAGGTTTGCGCTCCTCGGGGGAGCATTCGGGGCCCATGGGAAGTTGTCATGGACAGCATCAATTTTAGGGCTGTACTCACAGTAAATAAACTATGAGGAAGACAAGCCCAACTCAATTCCACTTGTGCCGCCTTCTCAGGGAAGTCAATCAATAAAATGAATCGGATAAACACTGTTCTCTTTTCCACTAACAGTAGCTGCTGCATCTCCAAGAGGAGAAAGTTTAATATTTCTAGGCTGGTCGACCACAGAGAAGTGCAGTTGATGGCTTTCAGGTCTACCTGCTAGAGCCCTGTGTGGCACCCACTTTGGTCACAAGAACACAAGGTGATTAATGAGGCATTAGACCTGACCCTGACACAGCTTCCCGGGGCAGGAGTGTTCCTTTTAACAGAAGTATCACTGTCCTCTTTGGATTTCCAGGTGATCTACATTTACCCTTATTGGCATTTGTCTTTTTTACAGAAGGGTCCTAGCATTTGAAGCTTCAGAAGAGTAAACCTCAAGTTTTCTGGATGTTAGGATGAAATCAGGGTTTAGTAGCCCACACCTGTAATCCCAGCACTCAGGAGGCTGAGGCAGGAGGATTGCCACAAGCTCCAGGCCAGCCTGGGTTACAGAGTGAGTTCAAAAACAGCCACAACTACACAGTAAGACCCTGTCTCAAAAAAAAAAAAGGTGTTGACTTGTTTTCTTTGCTCTTTTGTTGAACTTCCCTGAAACATTTTAATAGAAAGGCAGGGTTCTTGTACTGGCTGAGTATTCACAGGAAAAAAAGCTTTCGGAGCAAGTATTGCTGTGTTTACATGTGACCTGAAGAACTATACCGAGATAAAAAGATTACAAAAGAAAACTCCAAGGTGCTTATTTCTACGTAGGAAAATAACAGACATTTCAGTGTTTGTCTCCCCCACCAAGTTGTCTACAAGACATATGTACTACATTTCGAATAACCAAAAAAAAGGTATTTTAAAATGAATGATTACTACTCTGTGGATCTGGGAGAGGAAGCGGGGGTTTAGGTGTCCACAATGAACACCTTCGGGTCCCTGCAGTTTTGGATTTTCAAGCTAATGACGTCATGCTCTAAGGCTTTCCCTTTCCACATCTGCCTAGCTCTGTAGAAAATGCCGGGCTGGGATCTTCTGCAGGCACACTAGGGCAGAAACGAGTGAGGACGAGAGCAGCTGATTCGGCAACAAGCTTAGCACCCAGGTTGGGGCCATGCGCAGCCCCTGGCGAGCCACTTGCTTCTGGAACAACTGCATTTCATTGACATGAACATCCCTGGGCAATGGGGTGCTGTAAACAGCCCGGTGGACAGAGCAGCTGTGGGAATGCGAATGAGGCTGACTGTGCTGACTCAGGGCCCGAGGCCCAGGAACAGCTGACAGAGACGCTCCAGAATTCATGCTGGTGCTGACCAGGAACTCAGCCTGTGGGTCGCGCCTGCTGGGAGGCCGCGCGAGGCCTGGGTTTGGAACCTGGCTGTCCTGGCTTCCCCTCTACACTGAGGGGCCTTGGGCAGTCACTCGTCCCAGGGTTCTCAGTGTGGATCCTGTGTTATCCGCCCTGGCAGCACCAGCACCTGGGCACTTGACTAAAACACAGATTCCCAGGCATCATCCAGACTCGGAACCTGAGTCTCCGCGGTGCTGCATCAGAGAATCTGCAGGTACAGCCGGCTCACTAGCCGATGCTCACAGGCCAAGTCTTTTTTGCTTGTTTGTTTGTTTTTTCTTTTTCTTTTTTTCTGGTACCGGGGATCAAACCCAGGACCTTGTGCTTGCCAGCCAGGCGCAGTGCCACTGAGCTAAATCCCCAGGCCCTGTTTGTTTGTTTTTGAGACAGGGTCTGGCTATGTAGCCCAGGCTGCCCTTGAACTCATGGTGATCCTCGTCTCAGCCTCCTGAATGCCGAGATTCTGGTGTGTGCCACCACGCCTGGCACATGTGCCAAGTCTGGCGGCCCACTGCCTTCCTCATGCCGAGTACCAGTTTGCCTTCCTCACAGGCTGCCTGGAGGATTAAACAGATGACATGTGATGTCCCTGGCAGAAACAGAGCAGGTGCTCACACAGGGGAGGGCCACATCAAGGTCACTCTTCCTCCAGAAGCAGTCATGATCTCTTGCCTCCCTAGGAAGCACTTTGCAAATATAATACATGATTCTCCATGGACCTCAAAGGGAATTGAGAAATGTCCACTGGGCCAGGCCAAAACACACTAAGTCTGCCTCTGCACAGCAAGTCTAGGGTGCTTTTTACTTTCTATACTAAGACCTCAAATCTACAACTTTCTATAGTCTCTTAAGCACTTTTCACATAAAGTACTTGATCTTCTCAGCAATCCTGAGAGGCAAGGAGGGCTGGGATGACTGAACTGTTTCACAGCCCTGCATGGTGACGCACACCTGTGACCCCAGCACTCTGGAAGGATCACAAGTTCAAGCCCAGACTGGTCAACTTAGAGATTCAGAGAGACTTTGTCTCAAAATGAAAAATAAAAAGGGCCAGGGATGTAGCTCAGCATGAGGGCTGTGGGCTCAGCCCTCAGTACCTAAAACCCAGCAAACTCTTTGATGCTCATGATTTTGTTTTGCTCACCTTGTCCAGCTGTCTATGCAGTTCCAAGGATTTCCCTAAAATGTCATATTTTTTCTTGTTTTCATTGGTGAAGTCGTCACAGAGGCGCCTGAGCTCCGCACACTTGGGCCCGATGGAGTCCGCCGCGTAATGGGGGCTTTGGATGAGCCGGTCCCCAGCCAGTGCGAGGAACTGGGCCTTCTCCAGGGGCTCCTGCAGCGGGGACAACCCCAGCAGGGATGAGAGGCTTGGCACGGGAGCCAGGGCATCATGAGGCTGACAGCCCCGGCTGTGTGCTCTGAACCCAGAAGGAGGCCGCAGGGTGCTGTTGAGCCAGGGCTCAGCGGGGACAACCAGGGCACCAGAAGTCGCCCACCCAGGCTCACCCGAACTCGGTACCGGCTGCACCCTGAGGGCACCTGCTCACAAGCCAGGGATTTTCAGTTTAATGGCAAATTGAGATCAAAACTAAATTATACAGATCACAAATTATTCCAATCCTGAAAAAAGCACCCAGAAAAGCATAGTATATTATCTTGCACATAATAAGAGGCTCTGAATCTGCTATTAGCTGAAAGGGAAAGAAAGACAGACAGTTAGCCCTGAGAAGGGAAGTGGAGCGTAAGTCGAGAAACAGTGCCGACCTCTCAGTAGCTGGGCACTCGGGCAGGCTTGAACTTAGCAATGCACTTATCTAAGCCCCTTCCTGAGGCCCTTGGGGTCCTGGTCTGCTCAGCAACTGGATTTCTTCCCTCTTTCTGCATAACTCACTTAGTTCTAAGCAAATTGCCACTTTTCCCTGTTTTAAGCATTCACTCCCTTGTCCATCACCCGTTACTGAGGCTCTGCCATGTACCAAGCACTACTCTACCTAGGTGCCAGGGGTGGGTGGAACAGTAGGCAAAAGCCCTGCCCTTGTGAAGCCTACAGGGTAATGAGAGACATAGGCAATAACTAATTAAATACACACAGGTTATGCAGGATCTTAGACAGGAACCAGTGGTATGGAGAAAAATCAGACAAAGAGGGAAGGGCAGGGAATTCTATTGCAGGAGTTGCTTTAAATGGGATGGCGATCTCAGTTACTAGGGAGGCTGAGGCAGGAAGATTGCAAGTTGAAGGCCACCTGGGTCAACTTAGTGAGACTGTGTCTCAAAATAAAAAATAAAATAAGAGGTCTGGGAACGTAGCTTAGGGGTAGAACATCCATGGGTTCAATCCCGGGTTTCCCAGTACAAATAAGTTTTTTTCTTAAAAAAAAAAAAAAAAAGATGATGACAGGTCTTACTGAAAAGGCGCTTTCCAGGCTGTGCAGAAACGAGTTAACCTAGCAGGCCTGCGGTCACTTTCCCCTTAGGAGGCCTGATCGCAAGGTTAGTTCTTTTTTGTATCCAGGGACTTAGATTTGGGGAGGTTTCCTACTTTTCCCTTACAAAAATAATAAAAACAGCCCCCTAGGACTGGGAATGTAGAGCACCTGCCCAGCTGGGTTCCATCCTAGTAGCACCAAAAAAAAAAAAAAAACCAAACCAGGGCTGGGGATTTAGCTCAGTGGTTCTGGCGTCTGCCTTGCAAGGGCAAGGTCCTGAGTTCGATCCCTGGTACCAAAAAAAAAAAAAAACCAAACTAAGAACAAAACCTCACAGTGCCTAAAATGTTTGTGCAAACAATACTGTTTATACTGAATACCCGTTTCACCTGTTTTCTTTATGGGAGTGTGGAATTTTGGTACATGCTAGGTGGAGGCCACCTGCCTGCATAACAAACCCTCAGGAAAAACCCTGGGAACAGACCTCTAAGGAGCTTCCCTGACAAAAGCATTTCAAGAATGTTATTATGACCCATCCCTGAGGGAATGAAGCATCCTGTGACGCTGGTGGGTGAGAACTCTGAGCAGCTCCTGCCTGGCCGCCTCAGAACTTCACCCCGAGTACTTTTCCCTTTGCAGATTTTGCTGGGCACCTTTTCACCGTAACAGATCGCACGTCTGAATGGAACCACCTTCTAGGTCTGTGAAAAGCTTCAGACCCGTGTGTGGTCTCTGGAGCCAGTGATGTGCCAGTCAGGAGCTGAGAAAGGGACAAGCCATGAGGACCCTGAGCTCAGGTGGGCTGGTGTCCGACCAGTCAGAAAAGCAGGAAGGAGACAGGTGTGGCTGGAGCGGGAAGGTGCCAGCAGGAAGGAGCAGAAGGCGAGATCCGAGGGAAGCGGGTGGGACTGCTGAGGGCCTGGCTGGCATCCTGAGCACGCAGGCTCTTACCAGCTTGACAGGGACATGCCTGGAGAGTTCCAGGGGAGGACCTGCCTCCTGGCTTTGAAAGCATGGCTTCAATCGAAGTGTAGAGGATGACAGAGAAGGAAGGGCAGCAGGGAGGCCACTTGGCAATGATCCAGGCAAGAAGTGTGGCTGTCACAGGGCTGTGGTGCCAAACCAGCTCCCGACCCAGGGTTACCTCCTCCCAGGGGCTTCCCCAACTACTGTCCTTAAAGTCACACTACTGAGGCAGGAGGAGTTTGAGGCCAGCCTGGGCTATATAGTGAGTTCAAGGCCAGTCTGAGGTACATAGAGAGACCTGTCTCAAAAAACAAAAACAAAAACCAAACAAACAAAGTCACACCACCCAGGGGCTCTCCTTACTTTGTTTTTTAAACAGCATTTATCCCTATCAGAAAGTTATCTCCTTTGTTGATACTTCTCTCCTTGAGCCCCTACCACCAAAATGTAAGCTGCACTCGAGCACTTAGTGGACATCCAATAAGTATTTGATCAACAAAACGAATGATGGAACTAGTGACCTGGGTGATGCAGAGATCTGTTTGGTGGGATTGTATGAAGCAGCACTGATCTCAAATCCACACATTTTCCAATGTACCGGGGGGCAGAGTCTACAAGCACCTTCCTGACCACACCAGGCATCCAGTACACCACCTTTGCCCAGTTCCACTTTGTATGGGAATCTAAGGAATCCTGAAGACTCTATGAAGTCAGCTTGTCCCTCTCCCCACCTGCACTGGTTTATGGTCTCAGGAATCATTCGCTAAGCCTTGCAGAACCCACACCCTTCTCAAGACCTTTAGAACTGTGACCCTGTGTGCACCCTGTCCTTGTTACTGTTCAGGCCTGGGCTCTCTCCCACGGGGACAGCCAGTTGTCTAGGCTTCCTTCAGGCTCTGTCTGGTAGTTAAGTTGTTTGTCTTCTTGACTGGATTTCTAGAAAATCAGTAACACAGATGTCTGTCTCTCTTCTGAGGTTTCTGGCTTCTTGAGCTGAGCAGCTAAGACCCACTCCAGCCTGCAGATAGCCACTGTGGGACTATTCTGACTGCTCAAGCAGGCCAATCTGATAAAGCTCCTCTTAGAATTACATACATTGATTCTGTTCTCTGTAGAACTCTGACTAAAAAAAGCTGTCCTTTAGTCTATGCTCCGGACTGATGACAGAGCAGTGATCCCAACAGAGCGTCCTGGTATATCTACACCATTCCCAAGCTCCCGGCCCTTCCCTGGCCCACCAAGCTCCTCAGGAGTGAGTTCAAGCCCTTAAGCAATGCACAAGGGCCTTTTGTTTTATTTTTATCCTTATTTTTTATTAGAACAAGCTTGTCAAACATAATGATCACATTCATCACGGGGAATTTGTACCTGTACACATAACATATCTTAATTCTTTTTTTTCTCCTATTCTCATCCCCTTCTTTCTATCCTTCTTCCTCTCTCCATTTACAAAAGCTCTATTAATGTTTTTTCTTTCCTTCTCTCTCTTTTTATAAAAATCCCTTTTCCCTTCCTCCTCCCTCCCCATTCACCTTCCCACTTGAACAGTCTTCTTACTTCTCAATATCTATCTTCCATTTTCCTCCTTATTTACCCTTTGGGTTTTTCACACAAGAGAAACCATGTGATACAGAAGCTCGTGTGTCTGATATTTCACTTAAGATTATGGTCTCTAGATGCATCCATTTTTCTACAAATGACTCAAATTTATCCTTCTTTGTGGCACAGTAGTATTCCACTGTATATAAATACATTTTCTTTATCCATTCATCTGTTGATGGGCATATGGGCTGTTTCCAAGATTTAGCTACTATGAATCATGTTGCTATAAACACGGGTATGCATGTATCCCTGTAGTATGATGCTCTTAACTCCTCTTTCAGGAAGATACCTAGAAGGGGAATAGTTGGAACAAATGGAACTGCTAGTTTTAGTTTTTTGAGGAATCTCCATAAAGATTTTCAGGTGTATCAATTTACACTCCCAAAAACAGTGGAGGAGGGTTCCTTTTTCCTCACAGCCTTGCCAGCATTTGTTATTGATGGATTTATTATTGATAACTATTCCTTCTGGAGTGAGATGGAACCTCAGTGTTGTTCTAATTTGCGTTTCTTGAAGGATCAGTGGTGTTGAACATTTTTCATATGTTTATTTGCTGTTTCTACTTCTTCATCTGAGAAGTGCCTGTTCATTTCAGACACCCATGTTTGGACTGGGTCTTTAAATTTGGAGGTCCATGTTTGCAGTACATAACGATTACATTTATTGTGAGGAGTGCGTACGTGTATATAACACATCTTAATTTTTTGTCCCCTTCCCTTTCTATCCCTCCCTGTTCCCTCCAATTCCAGGTTCCCTTCCCATTTGCAAAATCTCTATTTCCACTTCTCATTCTCTTTTTTATCCCTTTTCCCTTCCCTCTGTCCCCCGCCTTCTATCTCTTATGCCCCTTCCAATTTGAAAAAGACTTCCTTACTTCCTATTATCTATCTTTTATTTTGCCCTTTATTTATATTTTGGGTTTCTCATATAAGAGAAACCATGCGATGTTTAAACTTGTGTGTCTGATTTATTTCATTAAACAGTCTCAAGGTGCATCCAGAACAAACTACTGGCAACAGCATATTAAATGGGGAAAAACTGAAAGCTTTTCCTCTAAAATCCAGAACAAGACAAGGATGTCCACTATCACCACTCCTGGTTCAACACAGTCTTCAAAACATTAGCCAGAGCAATCAGGCAAGAGAAATACAGGGACTACATAGAGGAAAAGGAGAAATCAAGATATAAATCACTGTCTGTCTTAAAGATGAGGGTGCTGTATTTAGAAAGGCTGAGAAATTTGACTGGGGTCACACAGCTGATAGTTGTCAGAGGTGAGATTTGAGTCCAGCTCTGAGTGACTCCCAAGCTTGTGTCCTTGTCACCTCCCTGTCCACCTGTGCTCCCACATGTGCTGTGAATGATGGTCACGTGGCCACGACTATGAAGTCCTTTTGGTGCCTGTGAGGAATTTTTACTATAAACCTCCAAATTGCAGTTTGCTTTTTAGTTTACATAGCTCTTGCTTAAGATAAATAGTCAACAAAATCCCCAAAGAAATAATAATAAAGGGCTAAACTCTGACTACAAGGTGCTGAAAATTATAGAAGATTAGATACTCTGCCGACATGTAAATTGGAAATCTTCAGTATAATAACAGTTGGTTCTCTCCTCTCCTCTGTTGCTAAGAGAGATGAAAGAGGACAGCATCTACATGGAAGAAAATGGTAAGAGGGCCATGCTAATGCATCCCAGAACCCACAGGTAATGGCACAGGAAGCAATGTGTGTGTGAGAGGAAGGTGGATGAAACAAGAAAGACAAGGAGTTAAAAAAAAGCAGAGCAATGAACACATGGGTGTTCACTGTACTAGGCTGGCTGCTTCCTTTTGTGTTTGAAGGCTTTACACACAGACTAAGAGCTCATGATCCTGCAGCTGGAGGAATCGTCCTCAGGATGTTAATACCCCAGATCCCGGGTCTTCTCGGACACAGTAGCCTTGGAGGGAGAAGTCAGACTGCAGTCAGGTTGGTTCCCCTACCTGTCCTGGTCTAGTCCCTGCTGGCCCACTGCCAAGCCTCAGCATGCCTCACAGCCAAAACCCTACAGCAAATTCGGCTTTTGTAGAAGATGGTGGTTGAAACTGCTGTTTTTCAGAATCAGGAAGAAGTATTCAAAGACTGCTAAACCCTCCCTTTAGAGCAAGATAAAGAACAGGCTCAATCTGTATGTGACAGGAGTCTGGTCAGTGACTGGCTCAGAGGTTTCCTCTGAGGATGATGTCACTGTGCAGAAAGGGGAAGCTGGTGACAACCCAGAACCAGTCTGAGGCTGGACCGGAAGGGAAGTGGACATCCAAGGGCTGAGAAAAGCATGAACCTCAAGCAGATAGCTGATGGATTCTGGCCAGGCACCACCTTGTTCCTTTAACACCTTACAGGGCAAAAGAAAGACTAGCCAAGCCCTGATCATCTGAAAAACACAATGGCTCTTAGAAATCTCACAGAAGACATATTGTGAAGGATTCCAGTTATGTTATAACTTTGTTTTACCCAAAGGCAGAGGAATAGAATACTGCATCTTGTAGGAAGTAGGTTTTAGAAAGAGGTAAGCAAGGAACAGGCCTGGACTCCACAGGTCATCTGCAGTGGCTTAGTCCAGCTGGTTCCAGAATGTGGGCCATGAGCATTCCTGTGTCCCGTGACACAGCCTTCATCCTTAGCTCTGGGCAGCCACTTAACGTCTGTGTCAAGGGTCACCAGGCCAAGGATCAAAGTCATGTTGAAGGTATGTCCACACCGGGAAGAAGAGAGAATGTGATAGAGTCATGCAGATCCATCAGGACTATTTAGAATACAATGCAGAGCACTGCCCAATGGCTTCCTGCTCCACTGAAAATAAAACCCAAATGCTCACCCAGGACTTCAAGGCCTACCATGACTGCTTAGCCCCGCCCATCTCTCTCACCTTGTTTCCTCCTGGCTCACTACTCTCCAGCCACGTTCCTCGAACCCACCAGCCCCATTCCATCATAAGACCTTTGCACGTGCAGCTTTCTCTGCCTTCATGCTAGTCTCCAAAGCTTGGCATGAATACAGGGATCAAAGATCAGAGGTCACTGTCTCAGGGACATTTCCACCACTCCCGCTAGAGTAGCACCCCAATAACTTTGTGTTATAGCTTGTCTTGCCTCTGTGTCACTATCTGATGTTAGTATTTGTTTTCTTACTTTTCAATTTCTTTGGTTAGTGTTTGCAGTACAAGTTTACATTCCTTGTGTGGAGCTGGCACCTGTACATAACACATCTTCATTCCTTTTTTCATCCCTTTTACTTCCTTCAATTTCTCGATCCCCTTCCCATTTGAGAAAGCTCTATCTCCTTACTTTTATTATCTACCTTTTAATGTGCTCTTTATTTATAATGTGGGGTTCTCATGTAAAAAGAAACCATGCAATATTTATTTAAGCTCATGCTGTCTAATTAACCTTCTCTCTCCCAGAGACGGGAAACCACGAGGGTAGGGCCTTGACTGGTTTTCCACCACACCCAGCGAACCTAGGCAGAGTAACCTGTGGATGAAGAAGTGCACTCCTGTAGGTCAGTAGCCACCTTCATTACATGTGAAGGCATTTTTATTGATGACGCATTTCTTCATAATATGTAAATTTATATAACCATAAACACATGGTATCTCTATTCCATTAAGAGTTCTCTTGAAGAAGCTACTAAATAAAATTGGGGCTGTTTGTTCGTCAGAACCTGTGCTATGTAGTCACCACACATGTGAGATTTGATTTCTCCATTGCTTGCTAAACGTTTCTGATGACTCCTAGAAAAAGCGGTCAGCTGTCAGAGTGCTCAGAGGGGAGGGAAGGATTGCTGAGAAAGGACTTGCATGCGCAGGTGGGCTCCTCTGTTTACTCGGCACAGGAGCCCCTCCAGCTGGGTGTGGCACTGCGTTTGTGTCCTTTAGTGGCATATGTCTCTGACATTCAGTGCACTCCAACCAAATGGGAATTTTTTCTTAAGATGCAGATTCCGATCCCTAGATAGAGCCTGAGAGTCTGTGTATTTAATGAGCCTTTTCCCAGGTGATATGTATGCCACTGGCCAGAGATTCACACTTTAGAAGCCAGTTTCCAGGCCTGCAGAATTATCATCTGGGACACAAGCCTTCAGAGTAGCTCAGGAAGGAAGTGCTAATCACAGGAGACTTAGTCCCCAAGAGAAAACAACTTAGAGAACCTACTTAAGGAAAAGCAGAATGGTATTTCTCCGGAAAGAGATGACGCACTAGCTTTAATTTGTAAGAAACTAAATCCGTAAGAACTTAAAATAGAATCACTTCTGAGTATGGAGTAGTGCAAAGATCTAGGAAACTGGCTAATGCTGGTTATGGAGTTGTAAAATATGCGCTCCTTTACAAGTCTGCTGTCTACAACTCTTGGGGCACAGGAAGGAAGCAAGCTTGTGTCAGTTGTGTATACCAAGAGAACTCACGTGGATCAGTTTCCTCATCTAGCTCTAGCTATTGTTGGGTTTTGTAGTTTCCCCTTTTAAAATTTCCCCTGCTTACCAACAACTCCACCAGCACATCTGGCCCCACAGGGGAGCCTCGAGCTCACTGGTGATGACTGGTTTGCAAGTGGTTCACTCATTGTGACCTGCACTTTGCTGCCCAGCCCATGAGAAGCAGGGCTGGCCCGAGGCTCCCATCACGCTTGGGCCTCTGCCCTCGACTGTGTCCAGCAGCTGAGGACAACTCCGTGCGCCTAGTATCATTCAGTGTTACTCCTGACAGTTGTTAACGTGCGTATATCCTTGGGAACCTCATGGGGTGACTGGAGGGCAGGGTCTGGGCGTTCCTATGGCCCCCAGCCACCCCCAACAGCGTGATGGACACGACTATCATCATCCACTGCAGCCTCCCTCCCAGTGCAGTGCACCTCCGTCCCTGTTACTTTGGTTCTGGGAGACGTGACAGGTACCTAGATGACGAGTACCAAAGAAACCGTTTTGGTTGGAAAAGATAGTGAGTCACAAGGCACTCAGCACTAGCAAGTTCTAGCCTGTGAATTGAGTATCAAACAAATGATAAACTTTGGCATCAGAATGCGTGAGTAGTGTATTCGATGAGTTCCGAAGCAGTCAAGTACCAAGGTACGACTGTGAACAAAAACCACACAAAACAAACCTGGCCTTTTTCCTCCAAGATTTTGCGCTCCTTAAGCAGTTGCTCCACGTGCATCACACTGTCTCCAATGGCTGTAAACTCTGCCTGCTCTTCCAGCAGATTGTCCAGGGCAAGCTTCACCTACAAGACACATCAGGACGGCGCAGGCATAAACCAACATGCACCCAGCTGCAAGGACAGGGCTGTTATGCTCTAAGAAAACTTGGAAATCCAAAAAGGATCAGGACTTGTATTTCTACATGCCCTTGCCTGCCTTCCTTCCTTGCTCCCTCTCTTTTTCGTCTTTCTTTTTTCCATCTCATTACCTTTCAGATTATGCTGGGTGACGCAGAGACACTTGTAGGTACAATATTAGAACCGGACTCAGCAGAATACCAGTCACTAAAAAAGGTAAACCATCAATGAAACGCCGTATACATCAACAAGAAAATGAGATCCTGGAATACTGCTCCCCACTGAAAGTCAGGGAGTGGGGGACTAGAAAGAAGCAAGGATACAAACAGGGAGATGAGTTACCAAGAAAAGAAAAACCCAGTCCCAAAGCATCTGAGAGGCAAGAGAAAATCAGAGGTCTGTTTCAAAAAGGAAGTTATATTTAAAAAGAAAACAATACCTTGCAAAAATTGTGCTCAAAGCGCTGTAGTTGTAGGCACTGGTTAAGCTTCAGGTGGTGCTCGAACCAAAACTGACTGAAGGCTTTTTCTGTTTCACCCAGTTGAACTAATAACCTTTCAAGAAAGAATGAAAGACAACCTTATATTAGCCTTCATTTCTAAGGCATACATATCACTTATATATAAGGTATATATAGGTATATATTTGGTATATATATGGTATATATATCACTTATGGTTTCCATCAGTGTTGCTACTGCAGCAATATCTGCATCATAAAGGATTATCAATTGTGGTTCAGTGGGTCCCTACACCTTCTGTTTCCAGTCAGGATACCCACAGAGGAGGAAAAATCCCTCTAGAAACAGACTCCGTGCTTTAAAATGTGCCCCAGGTGACCTTGCCTATGTGCATTCCTTTTTTTCCCATCTGAGACTACATATGTGTAGAGCATAGCACCAAGCCAAAGTTTTTTGGAAATGAAACTCAACAAGTACTGCCTTCTCTCTTGAAATCCCAGGATAAGAGAGTTTTGTAAGAGGAGGGAATGAAATTCTTCTCCTAAAGAGATCTCTGTGGGTGGAAGTCAGGTGGACCCGGTCTTTTTCCCTTTGAATCTCAAATGTTATTCCTTCTTAGCCCCACCGAGCCCAGTAGCAGCTGTTCCAATCTGTTCCAATCTGTTCTTGGTTAGTTCACAACTCACAGATCTATATATTCTCTCTTCAAAAAGCAAGTCCTATCTTACCTTTCCATGGTAGCTATATTCTCAAGTTCACTGGGACTGAGTTTGCTGGAGAAATGTTTGGTTGCTGGTTCTTGGACACATGACAGCAGGGTGGCCCCTTGCTTTCCTAGTAATTTCAGCTCATCCTAAAAAAAAAAATAAATAAAAGACTCTCATTGAAGGAATTAATAAAAAATGAATTCTTGATATGAGGGTGGTGAGGAGAATGGTAGATCAGGATATTTTTCATTTAGGAAATTAAAAGCTGAAGTCAAGATACAGTTTTTTAAAAAATAATTTATCCTTAATATACACACAGTACAAAATTCAAAATATACAAAAGGTTAGGAACCAGAAAAGGCGTCTTTTGTGCCCAACCTGTCTACTTTCCCTCTCCAAAAGCAACATTTATGTACTATTTTTCGTGTATCTTAAACTGTTGTTATAAACTAAAAGCAAAACTGGTTAATAAAATCAAGGGTCGTGACGAGAAACAAGAAAGCGACAGATATGGAATGTGAAGTGCTAGAAATGGCCAAACAATAATTGATAAACATCCCCCCTCCTTCCACCTGCTCCCCAGAAATGGACAGCAATTGAAGCCTGTATTTCCAAGGTGAGCCCCCCATACCCTCTAACACAGGGACTCAGGGATGTGCTACTGGGGAGGCTGTTGGCTTCCAAATCCCACAGCTCGAGTCCTCTCCTTGGACAGCACAGGTCACCTCTCCGGGCTTTGAGCCTAAACCACAAGGTCCAGGCTGCAAGCCCAAAGGAGCACAGCCTGGCCTAGAATTTCACTCTTGGGAATTCTGGGTTTGGTTCCGGGGTTACAGATGCACATGACAGTGAGAATCAGCCCACGGTTTGAAGACTAAAGCCACATGGTCACCTCTGTGCACATAAGCGCTGAGCCGCAGCTCATTCTCTGGGACAGGAGATTTACGTGGCCCCACTGGGGCCCTGGACCACCTGGACCTGGGGATACGTTCTGTCTCCCATCTTACACCAGCGTTCCCCAGCCTCAAGCTTGCCCCTAGGTCTGATCGTGACACTTCTCTGAGACAGCCCCTGAGGGGTCCCTGGATCTTCCAGGCTCCATCCCTCCCAGGCGATGCATCAAGCTAGCCACCCGGCTCCTCTCCTGCCTGGGAATCAGACATCACCCTTCTTTTCCACTCTCAAATGTCCGCCTTCATTTCTTTTTATCTCATCCATGCTCATTAAATATTTGTAGAGTGGGTAAGTTAATAATAGTCTAAAAGGAGTCAGGTTGCAGGTGGATAAAGACAAATCAGATATAATGGGGGGAAAGTACTCTTGAGATGGTGTTCTTAGCCTTTTCCTCCTCCTACCCACTAAAAAGGGTCCTGGATTTTCCCACTCAGAGCTTCCAGCGCGATTCGGCACCATCTGTTCTTAGATTTATGTACACACACACACATCACAGACGCACACACACAGACATATTTTTGTGATGCAGAGATGGGAAGAAAGGTGGAGAGGCTGAAGGAGGAGATGTAAATGGCCAGGGCAGATGGAGACATTAGAAGGGGAAGCTGGAAGGACGGGTATACCCAGTGAGCTGCAGAAAATGTGTGTGACAGGGAAAGTGGATCTAATACTGTGCATCTCTTGCACATTATTAAAAAAATAAAAGCAAGGGCTGGGGATTTAGCTCAGTGGTTCCGGCGCCTGCCTCACAAGCACAAGGTCCTTAGTACCAAAAAAAGAAAAAATAATAATAATAAAATAAAAGCAAAAATTGTGGCTTGGATCACAACTTCATTAGGGTTACAAAATCTGCCAAAAAACAAAGGGAAGGGCGTTGGAACGATGGTCCCTCAGAAAGGTAAAGGTAAGTCGCCCAGCCCAAAAATGGAGTTTCGGTTTCTGTGGAAAGAAAATATCCATTATTTTGGGTATTTAATTTTTGACTTCCAGCACTCAGGCTGGATGGAAGAGGAGCTCAGGGCACCATGTTCTGAGTTTGTATATAAATCCATGCTCTCTTTCCGAGAGTTTCCTTCCTTTGTGCAGCCAGGTCCCCCGTGGTGGCGGGGTAAGTGCTGGCAGTTGCCTTAGGAAATCAGAGCATCCCCTTGGAGAAGGGTCAACCAAGAGGGGGTGGGGGTGCGCGCATGTGCTGACCCGTGTGTGTGTGTGTGTGTGTGTGGGCGCGCGCGCTTTTGTGTGTGTATGTGTGTGTGTGCGGCAGGGAGGGGTTTTCATTCATCGGGAACCCAGCCTTTCCCAGGGAAGGCTAAAGCTGCTTGTGTGCACGGGACTCGCTCTTCCTTCCTGTCCCCTAGACGGGACAGAGAAATCACAAAGAAAACAAGGTTTCCAGTCTTAGAACAAAGCCCAGTCTTGCCCATAGTCTGACTGGGAGCAAAAGAGCACAATCCGGGGACACAGGGATTGTCGGAAATCAGCCCAAGGCGAAGGAATTTATGTTTCTAGAGAACAGCCCTCTTTCAAGTCATAATTTCTTAAAAGTTTGATAAGATCGTTCTGCTGTGAATATTCTGAGGTGTTTTTTTTTTCCTGTGTAAACAAATACCATTGGTAGCCAGAAGGAAAGGGCTTCTTTTGGAGGTCGTGTTGCACAAAGGAGTAAGGACTCCACAGAGAATTAGCAAATGAGGCTGTAAAAACTCCTCAATTCAGTGGCTCTCCTACTTTGACTGATTGGAGAGGTGACTGAGTAATTATATAGAGCTAAGATAAGAGTTCTGAATATTCCTTGGAGAAAGCAAAACAAGCAATCAACACAAGTCTCCCCCGTTTAGCAGCTCTCCAGGCTGGGAGAAAACTGTAATTCACAGGCTGTGACTTTTATAGCTATCTAAGTAGATTTAAAAGTCTGCTGTGGTAAGGAATGAATCTTACATTGTATTGGTTTTTCACTTGGAAAAGGTGAATAGATAAGTTTATGCAAGACTGCATTTGTCTTACTAAGAGGCTAATTAAATCTAGAGTCCTAAATTCTTTTTACTTATCTTACAGGTTAGATGGGGTATTTAACCAAATTGACACTTGATAACTAGAGGGTAAAATTATTTATTTCTTACAAATGTCAAATAATATTCCACATTCTGTATATCTATGAAGCCCCCCGTACATAATCTATGTGAAGTTTTCATACCCTTTGCCCAGAGTTGCTGGTCCACACCCACAGGAAAATGCTCTTACCCATCGCAGAGCCTGGTTCTTCCTAGCCCTTGGCCTCTGTAAAATTCTGTCTCTGTTGAAATTACAGAGCGCTGCTCACCCTGCCTTTCCTGGGGCCAACCTGCCGCGCAATCAGTAGGACCTGTCTGGCTGGTTTTCACTTCCTAGAAATGTCTAAAGCCCACATTTTTAAAACTTTCCCTCAGAGCATTGTATGTGTCCTCACTGCATCAACGCTGGAAGAGCTGGACTCTAATTGGTGGCCCAAACTTTGCAAAAATGCTTTGCTTGTTGTCACCAGTGCCTTTCCTGCCTGACCATGTTGTCATCTCAGTGCTTCTGCCCCTCAGCAGGTCCAGGCAGTGAGCCAGTGAACTCTCCGGACCCAGCTCGGCCGCACAGTTCCCTTCTGTGCTGTGCCCAGCACAACTGCCTGGCTCTCTGGCTGCTCCGCACACTCCTGGAGGTCTCGGCCGGTGCACTGTGCGAGGCCCTTCCTAGCAGATTTCATGGAAGCACTTCAAACCCAGCTTTCTGCAGCCTGGGGCTTGGAGGAATTAGGGGAGGTGAGCTCCGCCGCCGGCATGTTTAAAACAGAAAATGGCCAAGCTTCCAGAGGCCTTTCCTGGGAATACTTCCAAGATGTTGCTGGGATTTCACAGTGTCAGCCTCGATCTTATGACCTCTCAGAATAAACTTGGGAGTACATTTGGAGCTCTTTTTGGACCACAGCACCCTTAAAGACAGAATGTAGCATGGTCCCCTCACACATGGGAGAACTCATTTGCTGCAACCTCTAGACTCTGAGACTTCCCTAACTAGAATCTGTGGTTCTCAAGGCTGCATTGTTTTAGGAGTTTCCTGGCATGTAGTGGTGAATACGCAAAACATGTTGAATGAATGAGTAAATTAATCATTTGGTAAAGCATTTTGCAAATTTTGGGTCACAGATAAAGATTTCAGTTTTTGGCAAGTTTGATGCAGCCAGGACAGGTACAATGCTACGCCCTCAGTTTGCTGCCATATTGAAAATGGGCCTTCTGGGAAATATTGAATTCAGTCTGGTTATGCTTCTCAAGTCAGAAAGATGCTGGCACCCACTCAGTTAGGAGCCCCAGGATGACTTCCCTTACTGCATGCTCCATTAAAAACCCTGCTTAGGGCTGGGGATTTAGCTCAGTGGTTTTGCCGCCAGCTGTGCAAGTGCAAGGACCCGAATTCGATCCCCGGTACCAAAAACCCCCCCCCAAAAACCCCTGCTGAAACTCCCTTCTCTGCAAGTTACGATGTGCTCTCGTGAATCATCTAAGGGGTGGTGCTCCTTAAAACCAGCTCAGAGCAACCTCTGTACAGTAGTCTTTCTTGTCAAATTAATCCCCACATAAAAAGACACATCCCTGAGAAACTTAGTTTACTAGTTTGTCCCCAAGCTGCATGACAACCCCCAGAAAGCTCACACTTTGAGTCAACTCGCTTCCGCCTACCACTTTCTGCAATTTCAGTGCATGTTCTCTTGCTCTGTCCTGGGCAGTCATGGGAGTTTTACCTTCTCTAGGTCTCACATTCACCGACCTCTAGAGATTCTTCTCTTCACCTAATGCCTATCCAGAAGATCCTGGGTGGCCAGTAGCTGCCAAGTGACTGAGAGCACAGGAAGAAGGCTCCATCTTGAATTCTGCTCCTGGCCCTTCCAGGAGTCGATGTGTGACAGCCTCTTACCACTCACCTGAATCTTGTCCTGTTGCCGGGTGTGGGACATAAGAAGGTCTTCGGTGGGTAGCACGCCTTTGGGGAGCTCTGTTGTGGCCAGGCAGGCCCCAAACATCTGCAGCATCTGCGCAGTGGTCTTCAAGGTCAAGGCAAAATTTTCTATGGCCTGGAAGGTCAGACGATTGTAACAATGCAGAGCAATTAACCTTCACTAATATGCTCTCAAAGGAAGGGCACAGAGCTTGCTACCATTTCTGTAGTGCCAGCAATGGGCCACCCATTGTCCCTTCTACTATGCATCTATATATTGTTTCAATAATACACAGGGGGAGATATTTTAACTCCCTTTTTAGAGGAGGGAACAGGAGCATCAATACGCTGTGAGTTGTCCAACACCAAATTACTTGGGCAGTAAAAAGATAGGATCCAACCAAGGTCACAGTGTCTCAAGGCTGGGCCTTTGTTCATTACCCCAAGAACACCTAACATGAAGTCTGACTCGGAATTCTATACAAGGGTGGACTCATCCCCCCTTCTAACAAACCTGACTTTCCCTTTATCCCCCACATCTTCCTCTCTCCGCTCCTTCCCCTCACACACACCTGTGCCTGTGCCCGCTGCCTATGAGAAGCCTGTCAAATGCTTGGGAGGATATGACAGTTGGAGGAAAAGATGAATGCGGCGATTAGGGCACTTGTGACCTTTCAGGGCGATGACTCCCTTAAAACCATCTGTCAGATGTGGTTTGGGGACCTCTGCTTGCCACAGACTTATAAAGTTTGCCCGTCCTGTGTTCTTTCCACTTGGATCTCTACACTGCTATTAAATAAATATGTGCTAACTGGTCAGTGGCTTCTCAGCTAATACCCCACGTGAGGCAGCGACACATTAGCAGGCTGCTTAGGGAAGCGCGTGGCCTGTGCTAGAGAAAGCAGCTCGGCTCAAAGGAGTCAGGCGCAGTTTGAGTCCCATGAATCATCCTGCCTGCCAGATTGTGCTTCCACACCCACTGCTGCTCTGCTGCTGAGACAATTCTGCCCCTGAACGGCAAGCCATGTCACATTCGTTTTCATGCCCCGGGGCATGGTACTGTGCCTTTCACACACCGGGGACCAGTAAACAGCTGTGGAAAGCAAAGAGGCCTACCGAATTTTCATTTGGGAAGAAATAACCTCGTTTTCGATGTTACCAGAGAATATTTCTGAAAACCCAAACCCATATTGTAAAGAATGCACCAGATCTGATGGGGGTGCATAACTACATCAGAGGTCGGAGCGGGGGATGGCATGAGAAAACTTTGAGAACACTGCCCACCTTCTCCTACCAAAGTCTTCTCTACTTCAGTCATTGGTATCCTTGAAGCTTTGCCAGAGGGGAATCTCCCTATTAGCACGCTGCTTGGGCAGCCATAACCTTCAACATTACAGTATTTCTGGTCTGGAAAGCCAGACAAATACTTTTGTGAAAACCTTTCAATATATCAAAGTTAGTATGGTCACATAATCTAGTATCTGTATATGACACACTTATAATTGTATCACTAATGACCTGTGATGAAAAACATAAAAGAAAAAACATCACCAGGGGAATAATAAGAACATGTAAGGTTATGATGTATTTTGCTTTATATGCATGGCCTTTTCTAGTGCAGCTTAGTTATCATCATCACCCTAGACTCTATAGATGAGGGCGCTAAGGCATGTGGAGGTGAAGTGATTTCCCTGAAGTCATATAAAAAAATAAATGGCAGAAGTGGGTTTGAAGCCAGGTGATCTGGCTCCTTGGCTGTACTCAAAAGCACTCACTACATTTTGCTATTTTAGCAAAGTCGGATTTAAAACTAGATCCACAGAAGAGCTTGATCCTGAGAGTTGAAGATGTGAATTAGAGTCCAGCTTCTGATCCTCCCTAACAGTACGACCTTGGATAAGCCTGGTAACGCCATCGCTGAGCCCTAGAGTCTGCATTGGGAAGACAGGGGTGACACTTTCTGTTCTGCAGAGTTTGGGTTTTTTAATTTTTCTTTCAGTGCTGGGGTTTGAGCCCAGGGCCTTATGAATGCTTGGCAAGCGAGCAACGTCCCCAGTCATGTGAGGTTTTTTGAGGATCAAAAAAGAACAGCAAAAGTGATCTTGGAGCCAGTGGAGTATCTTAAAAGTGTGGTAATAAAGACAGCGACCCACAGCGTCAGGGGTGAGGCCTACAAATGTCATCCTGAAAACACAAGAGAGCCGGAGTGTTCCGTGGAGGTTACCTATTAACAACTTAATTTGATTCCATGTCATTCCATGAATAATCACTTTGGAAATGGCACAGAGGACCTGGTCTTGATAGGAGAATTAAAAAGAGCTTGGTTGGCCATCTGACCTTGGATAAGTCTCCTTTTTACTCTGAAGGTCAGTTGCCTTATCTGTAAAATAAATTGATTCAAGTAAACAATCTTTAGTATCTTTTGAGGTCTAATTTTCTGAGTCTCATTCAAAGATGTGACATCCAGAAAGCATACTGTCACACACACATACCCACACACAAAATGGATCTATATATTTTAATCATAATATATAAAACAATATTTATATGTGTTTCTACTCTAATTATTTCCAGTTATATGTGTGTCTAAAAAAGTATGCATAAAGTATTTATGAGGCATGTAAAGAATATTGCTGGTCTTTCAGTACTAGTTGCATTTTAGCATGTATTTTAACACCTCCACAACCGCAAAACCATGTCTACAAAGTAGGTCTAGCAGGGCAGGAAGTGTGCACACGTTTGCTCAAGACATCCCTAAATAACCAGTCTTCATGAACTTAGTCTTCTCTAATTCTCTAAGTTCTTAAAGAACTATTTGATATTAAAGCATACATCTTTAACATATATTTGCCGTAAGTTGTCTTGGCTCAAAAAAAGATTTGAGGTAATTTGAAAATCATGAACAACATTAAAAACAAGTGACTGGTAGAGAAATCAGAGCAAAGGGGAAAGCTAGCTAGCTAGCCCAACAAGGATGGTGAGACAGTAACTTCTTTTTGATTATTTAAAGTTCCAAGTGTCTAGGAAGTGAAAAAATAAGGCCTGGGAGCACCTTAGGTTGTATGTGGCCTAATGAAATTCAGCCTGGAAGACCCTCACCACAGTCACTCATTTATGCCATTGATAGCATTCTACATGCGCTTTCTTCCACATCTTTCATGGTTAGATTTACTTAGAATTATGTGGTCATAAAAAACTGACCATTCCCAAAGCTAGGTGTAGTGGTGCACGCCTTCAGTCCTAGCCATTGGGAGACTGAGGTATGAGGATCGCTGGGAGTTTGAGGCCAGCCTAGGCTGCATAGCAAGTTCAAGGCCAGCCTGAACTACATACCAAGACTCTCTCTCAAAAAAAAAAAAAAAAAATCTCCCACTCCCACTCCAATGAGATTATCTAGGAGTCACCTTTTTTTGAAGGCTGGAAGTTCAAGGTCAAGGTGCAGCTGGCTTGGAGTCTGGTGAGAGCCTGTTCCTCACAAGATGGTGCCTTCTCTGCCTCCTCATGGGCAGGAGCCCAAAGCCACTCTCTTGAACCTCTTACTAAGGCAGTAATCTTTCTCAGGAGGGTAGAGCTCTCATGACTTGGTCACCCCAAAGCCCTTCTTCTGAATACTACCACAGTGGATCCTAGCATATTTAATTTGGGGTTGGGAGGTACACCAATAGCAGTAAGTTTTATTTTCACTTTTCCCTCAATATTCCTGAACCTTCTAGATTAGCAATAACAACCACCAATACAAATAAGTGGGAAAAAGTAAAATACCATACCAGGAATGATTAAAAAAAAGTTCAATTAAAAAAAACCTTACTACAGAAAAAGACACACTGCCAAGAACAATGGGATAAGTATGTTTGAAGCAAGGGGGGATTGAGGGATTCCATGGCAATGCGTTTTTTACTGTAATAAATTTTTTATTTAAAAATTCACTAAGTTGTTGATCACTTCTCATTGATGAAACATTTATGTCAATTTCTGTTAAGTAAAAACATAACAGTATATCCTCACCACCTTTTTTCACTGGATCTGGCACTGCAAGTCTTCCGGCTCTTCCCCAAAGTCAAAATGACCATGAAAGGGAAACATTTTGAATTGATTTATGGCAGCACAACTAAAGACACTCAGGAAAGAGAACTTCGAGAACTGCTTAAGAAAGTGGCAAGAGTGATGGGATAAATGTATCTGAAGTGAGGGAGAGGGCTCTGAGGGAGATTAGTGACAATGTGTCGTTTAAAACATTTTTAAGCATCCACTATATTTTTTGATCATACTTTGTATATCAGGCTCTGTATTACTTTCCACATCAAACATTCAGGTAGCTTTTGTTAGTTCAAGGTTTCTCAACATTGGCATTATTCTTATTTTGAACTGGACATTTTTTTGTTGTGGAGGCCATTTTGTGCAAGATGTTTATTAGCAGGGTCCCTGGCCCACACCCACTAGCAGCCTAAAACTACCTCTTTTCAAGTTATGACTACAAAAACTATCTGTAGACATTGGTAAATGTCCTGTAGGGGCAAACTGACTCCCAGCAGAGAGCCAGAGTGTTGGTCCCATTTAACGCAGGAGGAACCGGGCTTGATAACTCACTCTCGGCCAGACAGTGAGTAAGGGGGACAGGATTTTAATGCAGCTAATTCTGACTTCCTGTCCACTGTATACAGGAATCACCTGGGGAGTTTTATGCATTGAAAATGTCCGAGATTCATCCCAGTTCAAGTCATTTCCCTGAGGTCTATACAGCATGGTATGGTGTTTTTGAAAACTCCCCAAGTGTACTCTAGGTCAAGGCTCTCAAAACCCCCAGATCAGAAGTTGCAGGGAGCTCAGGCAGTCAGCAGGGGAAACCGCAGCCTCTTCCCTCACACCATGCTTCTTCCCCACCCCACGGCTGAGAAATTCCAGTTTTCCTAGCACCGGGCGGTCACGAGCAGGGACCTTTCCTCTGTGGGCCGTCAGCTCCCCTGGCTTCTGGAAACCCTGGAGAGGTGGTGAGACACCCGCAAGCTGATACTCACAGTGCGATGATTTACCCACTGGCTGTGGCGATATTCCAAAGTTCCCCCTAGCTCCCGAGTCAGCTGGCTTTTGTCAATGTAGCCATGAAGGTCGGAAACGGAGTTTAGCATGATGATCTGTAAGGGGGAAAAATATAATATATACCTCATAGACCATTAAATAGCTCATCTAGTTCTCCTGTTAAACAATATTTCAGCTTTGCCTTATCAGACATTTGTAGCCAAAGAAGGTTGTTATATAGCAGGGAACTATTTTCAGTCTCTTTCCATTTTTCCCTTTCAGACGAGGAATACCAAAATGTCATATGGCCTGTGACAAAATGGTGACTTGGATTGGGATGTTCAGTTTCAGGCTACTGAGAAGACAGGACTTGCTTTAGGGGACTTTTTTTCCAAAGTTCTCAAGCTAAGGTATACTTTTCAATCACCAAAATCAAGGGCTGTGCTGAGGCCGAGAAGTCTGGACTGAGAATCCCAACAAAGTGTGGTTTGATGAATGTCAAAATAAAGTTAGAACACAGGAATTTGCAGAGCCTGGATTGAAAAGAGCCACGAGAGAGTTACAGCCCTCTGAACTGTGTGGAAGGGTCCCTCATTGATCTTGCATGGAGGAGATGGGGAGGTAATAGTGAGGGAGTTTTCATAAACTAAGAATTCCGCTGATGAACAAATACCCACACATCTAGAGAAAGCCAACATATTCCAAACTGGCCCCTTCTGCTCCTCTATGGCAGGGCTGACCTGGGCATGATCCATGCTGTCTGATTCGGGACTGCTGGGTATCACACCCCCTGCTTACTCCTAGCCAGGGACTAGGACTCCTCATGCCTATCTCTGAAACACAGCCCCTGTCCCTTTTACTAGCAACCTTATATGCATATTTTTATTCCTCATTGATTATTATAAAAATTGATTCTTGATCAGACATAAAAGAATGTGGACTTTCTACCATTATTATATAGCGGCAGTGGCGAACCTATGGCACGCATGCCTCAGCAGGCTGTTTGTATTGCTGAAAGCTCTAAAAGGTTCACCATCACTGGTATACAGTATTAGTCAAGTGATAAATCTACCCTGGAATGACAAAGATAAATTAGGGCCAAATACTATAGGTGAAACAAAATTACAAAAAAAAAATTATTTACTCATTGAATAGGTATTGAACTGCTAATAAATACCAGGTACTGGGAAATAAAATCATAAGTGTTCAAAGACCTAATTCAAAAATGGGCATCTGAAATGAACAGACATTTCTCAAAAACAGACAAAGAAGTAAAAGCAGCAAATAAAATATGAAAAAATGTTCAACATCACTGGTCATTCAAGAGATGCAGATGAAAACAACACTGAGATTCCACCTCACCCCAGTAAGTATGGCTGCTATTAAGAAATCATCCAATAACAAATGCTGGCGGGGTTGTGGGGAAAAAGGAACCCTTCTCCATTGTTGGTGGGAGTGCAGACTGGTGCAACCACTGTGGAAATCAGTATGGAGATACCTCAAAGAACTAGGCTTAGAGGTCCCATTCGACCCAGCTATCTCCCTGCTGGGGATCTTCCCCAAAGAATTAAAAGAATCATACCACAGTGATATATGTGCGCCCATGTTTATAGCAGCACAGTTTGTAATAGGGAAAGCTTGGAAACAGCCCAAGTGCCCATCAACTGGAAGCTGGATAAAGAAGATGTGGTTTTTTAAATAAAATGGAGTACTACTCAGCCATACAGAATGAGAAACTAGAGACATTTATAGCTAAATGAATGCATATTGAGGCCATCCTCTTAAGTGAAATAAATAGGACACACATGTGTAAATATCGAATAGTTTCTCTAGTGTGAGAAACTGAAAGTGTAAGTAAGGATACATATGGATGAAATGGCCTAATAACATATTTCTCGGATTGTGTTTCCATCGCGTGTCATATGACTGTATAGAAATTTAAATTAGGGAAATGTTTGGCTTATGTGGAGTCTGCTAGCTAACTGGAGTTTTTTTCCAGACTATTATTTGTTCAGTGTTGGTTTTGGGGTCCTTTCTGAAACAAATCACATCCTCTGGTGTCTTGTTGGTGCTTGAGATGCTTTTTTAAATAATATGGAAACATGTTTAAGTGCTTCTCAGTTTTGCTTTGGTTGAGTTCTACTGTATTTGAATATTATTGTAGTTTTTTTCCCCTTGCATTGTTCTTCTTTGAATGGTTTTAATTTTTGTATGTGTGTATGTTTGATAAAAAAGTTATTTTTAAAAATTTTAAAAAAATCATAAGTGTGAAGGGCCATGCCTGTGAGGAACCTAGGTTTAGTGGAATTTGATTACTACCTATTCCTGTTAGTCTGGTTGGGCCTATGACTTCCTCCACTTCTGAAAACAGTTTGAATATTTGAAAAATTATGTTTATAATATAAGAAAGAACCCTGAATCTACTTATGATATTTCCTCCTAAAGTTTTAAATCACTTATGGGAGTTTCATAAAGGTTTTCAGTCTTTGAAAATTAGAAATTATAGGACAGGTAACAAGAAGTTATCAAGTTAAAAATGGCTTCTGCATTTCTATGGCAACATCTGGAATCTAAAAAGATACACCTGGGCTGGGGATTTAGTTCAGTGGTTCTGCCTCCTGCCTCACAAGTGGAAGGACCCGGGTTCGATCTCTGATACCAAAAAATAAATAAAATAAAAAGATACACCTATGTAGGACTTTGTGTTGGACATAAGCCACTTTGTCCCCCAGCCAGCACTGTCAGAAATGGATCCTGCTGGCTGCCTGATTCCCTTCATTTAAACGAGAGGGAAGGGCTTCCCCACACTCACTCGGCTGCTGCCTTCTCATCTTAAGCTGATGAAGGCCACGAGGAATTTTACATTAAAAGCCAAAAGTGAAAGCTAAAATTGAAAATTGAAAAAGAAAGATATCAGCAGGCTCAATACTTTTAATATTGAGCTGTAGATTCACAGCAACCCCAATCAAAATCCCAACAGACCTTTTGTGGAAATCGACAAGCTGGTTCTAAAATTCATAGGCAAATGCAAAAGATGCAATTTTGAAAAAGAAGAACAAGTCGGATGACTCACACTACCTGGTTTCAAGACTCATTAACTACAGTAAGTAAGCAAGAGTGCAGCAATGGCAAAAGACAGAGATCAAAGGAACAAAACGGAGTCCTGAAATAGACTCATACAGATACGGTCAACTGATTTTTAACTTTTTGTTTTGAAGTATTCGCAGGAAGTTGCAAAGATAGTACAGAGAAGTCCCATGTACTTTTACTAAGCTTCCCCTGCCCCACTGCCTACACCTGTATAATTATAGTACCATGTCAAAGCAACAATGTGCAATGGGTGAAATGTGTGTAGAGCACTACCATTTCCTCACATGTGTAGATGCCTGTGATCTCCAGTACGGTCAGGATGCAGAACCATCCCATCACCACAAAGATCCCCCTTGTGCCTCCTTATGGTTACACCCTTCCACCCCCTGCCACCCCTGAATCCTGGAAAATGCTAATCTGACTTTTGACAAAGGGGCAGAGGCAATTAACTTGATGAGAAATAATTCCATTTTCAACAAACGGTGCTGGAACACTGGAGATCCTCATGTGGAAAATGGGACCTCAACCCACACTCCACATCTTATATAAAAATTAACTCAAAAATGGATCACAGATTTAAATGCAAAAATATAAAATTTAGAAGGAAATTGGTAGTATGATAAGAAATATATTTGGTCTTTGTCCCAGGTGCTTGGTACAGAGCCCCTAAAAGCCCTTGGAATTTCCTGAGTGATAAGAGTGTCTTTTGTTTTACATGATGAACCTGTTTGGGTCAGACTTGAGTTTATACTCATAGAGTGACCTAGGATAAGACCCCATGGCCTTGGGATGGGGCTAGTCACCTGAAAGAGTAAATAATTACAGGTTGGAACTCTCAGCCCCACCCATCGACCTTAGGAGCTTACAATGGAGACTGAGCTTTATGAAAACTCCTCAGCAAGGAGCTCTGCAGAGCTTCTAGGTGGTGGAAACGTTAGGGTGCGGGGAGAGTAGAGTGTCCAGAAGTTCCAAGCCCCTTTGCCCATACCTGGGTCTACACATCTCTTCCACCTGGCTCTTTCATAATTGTATCCTTTATAATAAGCTGGTAAATATAAGCGCTTGCTTGAGCTCTATGAACCATTCTGGCCAATTAGTGAACCCAAGAAAGGGGTCATGGGAACTTCTAATTTACAGCTTGTTGATGAGAAGCACAAGAGGCCCCAACTTGAGGTTGGCATTTGGAAGCAGTATTGTGGGACGGACAGAGCAGAATGGAATTGCTCAGTTGGTGTAGGGAGAGCTGGAGAATCATGTGATGAGGAGAAACCACATATTAGGTATCAGCGTGAGCAGAGAAGTGGTGAATGAGTGAGGAAAATCTTGGGCAAATGCTTGGGCAAGGCAGAGTTCTGAAGCAGCACACCAAAAGCAAACCCATAAAAGAAGGGTTGATCAACCGGACTTCGTCCAAACTTAGAACATTTACTCTGCAAAAGCCACTGTTTAGAAGAATGAAAATGTTACCCCCAGCTGAGAGGAAATACCTGCAGGTCACCTATCTGACAATGACTTCTATCCAGGATATATAAAGAAGTCTCAAAGCTCAACAATAAGAATGCAATACTTTTAATAATAGCAAACATTTGAACAGAAGCTTCACCAGAGGAGATACACAGATGGAAACCAAACTCATGAAAGGAGGTTCATTCCATTAGTCATCAGGGAAATGTAAATGAAGACTGTTGTGATTTACCACCATACATCTGAATAGAATGGCCAAAAGTTGCTAAAATTACCCTTGTTTTTGCTCAGGTGGCTGAGATAGTAAGCAGCTGGAATTCTTACACAGGGCTAGTAGGAATGCAAAATAGTACAGCCACTCTGAAAAACAGTTTGGCAATTTCTTTCTTTTTTTTTTTTTTGGTACCAGGGATCGAACTTGGGTCCTTGCACTTGCAAGGCAGGTGGTGGAACCACTGAGCTAAATCCCCAGCCCTGCTTAAATTCTTTTATTGGTACATTTTAGGTATACAATACGTTTACATTTATCCTTGGGTCCTTGTACCTGTACATGATGTATCTT